TGAAAGAGTTTACCTGTATCATCATCGTCGTCGTCGTCATCGTCGTCAGTCGGTGCGAACGGGTGACTAATGACCTCGAGGTTTAGACAAAACGTCGTATCGGCGGGCACGAGGAAATTGCCCGGCAACCTACCGCATTGCGACCAGGGGCCTCCTACCTCTCCCTCCTAAACAAGAGGTCCCCATTAAGCCAAATGACTCGAGGCAGCGAGCCACTCGTGATTAAAAGGGCGATTTGTTATACGGATACCGGGCTAGGCCGCGGATTGGTGTATGTTATAGGTACGTGGATATACGTCACTACGTTTGTGCCAGTAACCAAGCAAGCAAGCAAGCAAGCAAGCAAGCAAGCGAACGAGCCAGTTTCCACACCTTCGATCCGTCAAACGAAACCTTTTCGATCATCTTTTTATTACTCTCTTTCTCTTTCTCTTTCTCTCTCTTACATTTCTAACGAGCCCGTATATACACACACACATACACACACACACACACATATATATATATATCTTTTGAGGGAATATTTTGGAATAAATCCTAAGTTTTTCATAAAATTTCAACAAATTCATTTTCATCGATTCATCATCATTCAAATCGTTTATTCTCGAGTTTGTTTCGTAATATCCGGTTTTCATGTCATCGTTCAACAGGAAGACGGACATGGGGAGACCCACGTTACGAAGTTTGTTAATTTATGCAGAACCAAGCGATAGGTAGGTAGATACGTAAGGTTCTTTTTCGTGAACACCCTTTCGTTTGGTTTTTCTTTTTCTTTTGTTTTTCCGTTCACCTCCTCTGACCCCCGCTCTCTCTCTCTGTCTCTGTCTCTCTCTTTTTTTCTCCTGCTTTATCGTTCATCCTCCCCCGCGGAAAGAAATCACGACAAATTTCCTGTCCGTCGCATGGGAATTTATCTGGAGAGCAGGTGAAAGCGCCGCCGTCGATATGCGTGCATGAATCTCTTTCCCCCCTTCTCCCCTTCTTCCCACTCTCTCTCTCTCTCTCTCTTTCTTTTTTCTTCTTTGTTTTTTTTTCCTTCTTATGGGAAACTTACGAAAGGGACACCTGCCAAAATGAACGATATGTACGTACGTATATACGTGCGCGACGTCGTGATTCGCGTCGGTATTTAACAACGTCGAGGTTGTGGGAACTAGTTGGTTATGGGTGGGACCACCACACTGCTTAAGTACAGTGATTACAACGTCAGGAACACGATACCACCGCGTTACCCGAAGATTGGTACTTTCCAACTCCCGTCCTTCCTCCTAAGCGTAAGTTTGTCGTTGAAAAGCAAATCATATTAATCGACTTACTTTACCTTTCTTATAGATATTATTTTATTTTTAAAAATATATTATATAGATATGTTTATATATATATATATATATTTTTTTTTTCTTCTTTCTTTTACAGAAGAACACGCAGATAGAATTTCGCTTAATTTATTTAAAAAGCAAGGAAGAAGAAAAAAAAGCGACGTTCTATCTTATCTCGTTGTATTTCATTGATTGTTCATTGATTTCTTTTCAATATTAATTATTTGTTTTATTGATTTGAGATAAATTTAATGTAATCTAAATATATTTTCATGAATAAATTTAATGATTACTTATATACTGAAGAAATAACGAGTATATGATCTTTATTTAAATATTATTGTAGAAGTTGACGTAAACATAGGAAAGTATAATAAAATTTTAATATGACGTACTTTCAATAGGGACCTGAAGGGAAGGGAAGAGTAAAGGAGTGGGGGGGGCGGCATTCACGAAGTGAAAAAGTAGAAAAAGGGTACGTTGACGTTTTAAAGTTGTCTCGCAAGAATGAATTCTCGCGAGCCTCTCTCGAGCACGTATTTCCGACGGTGCACCCTTATCGCGTCGCATTTTAAATACGATAACGTTATATCTCGTGATTCTTTGGGTGAACGGGGCGCCCCGAAGCACACAAAAGACGAGGAATTTCCTCTGGAAAAAGACGGCGGTGGCAGCGGCGGCAATGGCAGCGCCGGATTCGACAGAAACGGCGAACATCCAATCTCCGAGTAGCTTTGATCGATGACACGCGGACAAGTGGAAGAGACGAGTCGAGGTTCCTTGGGAGGGGTGCGCGAGGGGGTTGATAGTGTCGGTGGGTGAGATTGCCTTGTCACCTTGACAAATGGTTGGAGAACGAAAGGTACCAGCCGAACGTTGAAACGCCCTTCGTAAAGGTCCTGCCAATCCCTTAAATTTTCTTCCTTCTATTTCCCTCGTTCTCTCTCTCCCTCTCTTTCTTTCTTCCTTTCTCTTTTTCTTTACTCGACACCTCACCTGTTCGTCTCCCACGAGTCTTTGAAAGACACCGGCCTTGCCACCCTCGGTGTCTATTAGTCATTAACTATCGACAGCCCTGGCAAATAGCCTGCATGGCTAAATCAGCCCCTTCGAAAAAGTTCCAACTCAAAGAAGATTTCAAAATCAATTACTTACATATTGGTATCGTCGTTCGTTGATTCGCATTGGCCCTATTACAATTATGAGAATATTTTTATAAACGAAAGAATATTTTAAATTATACAAATTTTTCTAACATACGTATATATATATATTTTTTTTTTTTCTCTGATAAAAGCAAGTTTTATTAATATATACGGACAAATCATCTGGGAATTATTTCTAGGCGGCAACAGCAGCAACATTAAAACGTTAATAGAAAAGCTAGTAGCTATCGTTATTACCTAACTCCACTCTCCACGTTTCATTACTTCGGGTGTTTACCGGAGCGAGTTACGCTCCATTTACGGCAAGAATGTGCGATCGTCATTCGACACTGTCCGTCATTTTATCTCACGACAGCGGTACGCCCGTCACTTTGCGTTCTCCGCTTTCCCAGATAGCATAATACCAACTTTGACGGTAACTCGCCGACCGATTATGACGATTTTTAATTATATCCACGATAAATCTGATTTACTCGTTAGAAAGTTAAATGTTCAAGACGGACGTTCTCTGATTTATTACCGTTTTATTTTCAAATTAATTAGAGGAACGTTATAAAACAAGGATGTTTCCTTTGAGAGATATGTTCTTATCGTACTCGAAAGATGTTATCAATGATAAGAATGTTAATCAACTGACACTCCCATCGTATTGTAATAAGAGTTGAAAAACATGTCTGTTGAGTTTCGTCTTACGTTACGTTAAGAATTTCGTTGAATTATAAACGATGAATTCTCGAATCAGCGTTTTGATTTTTTTCATTCCTTAACGAAAGACAATATCCCGTGTTGATATTACAATCGATTCGCGATAAAGAACGATACGTAAGTAAGTACGTTTCGAGATGAAAGTGAAAGAAGTCCGTCGGTCGAAAATCACATTCCGGCGATTCGCATTCCCACACGCCGTGGGGACGATGTGCGTGACAACGTGCGTGACAACGTGCGTGATTTCCACCCTCTACGTGCTTGCATACCCCCAATGGACAGATGGGGTTCTCACGAGACCCTTTTCACGTTACTACCATATACACCTTGTGATTATCTACTTTCGACTTCGTTGGGGACGTTCCAAAATGAATGGCTTATGCTTGACTTTGGGAATAAAAACGAAGAGGGTTTCATTAAAATTTAATTTTATTATTGTACCGTCGATAAATCTCGATGAAAGAGTATGAATCCAATATCTTTTCTTGTTTTCATTTCTTTTCGCGTTTTTTTTCTTCCTTTTTTTTTTTTTTTTTTTTTTTTTTTTTAAACGAAACGTCGAGAAAGACGCGCAAAGAATCTAAAAAAAAAAAGAGAAAAAGAAAAAACGAAAGATAGAAATAAAAACTTATCATCGAGGCGTAACACTTTCCCTTCTCCTCCTCCTCTTTCTTCCCCACCCCTTCCCCTTCTTGATAAAATATAATTAGAAAGACAGTTTCGATCGTCGTCTACGCGTTTCAACCCTTGCGATTTAACGAGTATGACTGATTTAAAGAGCGAACGAAATAATATATCCTCCCTTTTTATTTGACACGAAAAGAAACGAAGGAAATATAAACGAAGAAGGGTGAGACTATTGGAAAGCACCTTTCGATCGCACAAATATATATGAGCGAATATTTGTACATATTTCTATGTGTATATGTGTACATATATATATATATATATATATATATATATATACGTATGTACGTACGTACGTATCTATCTAGGAGAATGTAAAAACGTCGGGCCACGACATTGACGGCGTCGTTGCGATCGGCTTGACAACGGACTCGAACTCGTAGTGGTTTTTAGAATGAGAGAGAGAGAGAGAGAGAGAAAAAAGGAAGAAGAAAGTCGAATAAAACGTATTCCCCTGCTTCGTCGACGAGATAATGTATCGGTATGTCGTACCGTGAAAGCTCGACGTATCCCGCCTGTGGTGTTTTATTATTACGCTTTGCGCGATACGCAAGAAGAGAAACAAATAAACGTATCGACACGTTGGTAGTATGTCGAGAACACGAGCATAAGTAACACCTATCCTATGTTATATACGTACGTAAACATAAAGACATATACACAGAATGTTTATATTTATAGATATAGGTCTTCTCTAACGAGTATATAGAATAGTCTATGACTAGTTTCGCACCTTGTATCATCTCCTCCTTCGTTTGTTGTCCCTCCGACTCCCTTGTCAATTTCTGTTTATAATATTCCTGTCGAAGCAAGACAACTTTTACGATATTCTTTTTTATTCTCTCGTCTATTATCGTTTAACGATACGCTTACGAGAGGTTGAAAATCTTCAATTTGATAGTTTCTTTTTTATTTATTCGTTGTTTATAATATTATCATTGATATTTACGTAAATCAAAACGTCGATAGATAAATCATATATATTTTCCTATTCGTTTTATATCCGTTACCAATAAAATTTTATTCACGACGAAACAAAGAATATATAATTCGATACGATTTTGAAATGAAACAATGTGATCGTTCGATTAATTCTCACTGTCATTTTATTTTTTCTTTTCAGGTCTGAAAGTGATCGAAAAATGTTGAATCCAGAAACCGGTTGTTATTCGGAATCCGTACGAGCATGGTGAGTAACGTAGGAATTAACAAAGTTAAATGATTAACTGGAGTAAAGACAATGATCGTCGTTTTTATATTACTTTAATGGAGTCAGGGAGGAAAAAAGAAAAGGAAATAAAAAAAAGGAAAAGAGGAAAATGAAACGATGAAAAATAGAATTGAAATCGGGACAAAATTTAATATTTAATAAATCGATTCGTGGAGAATGGCTTCGATAAGTGATAAAGATTTTATCTTAATCGTAGTTCGAATATATATTTTAGATCGCGTGTCGGTTAATACTTGACGCGTATCCTCATTAACGCGTAATCTTAATTAGGTACAAAACGGCAGAGCATGCATGCTACGAACGACAAGGAGTAGTTACGTGTACGATCTCTTCGTAGTAGCTTGTACTTACTTACGTAGAACTATATATATGTTCGTACATGCATATATATATATATATATATGTAACATGGTTCTCTAATTCCGTACGACGTACGGTTCCGTTGCGTGTTAGCAGGAACAGCAGCATGGTAAAGTAAGGTATACTAACTCGACTACCTTTACGCGCGGTTTCACGCTCGTGTCTTACACGCTTCGTTGCGCACCGATCTATTCTCCTCCCTCTCCCCTTTCGTGTTATAATCGAAATGATTTTCGATCGACTGATTGGACTTACTTAGACGTTAATTCAATCTTTTTAATACATACGTACGTCTCATCCGGATCAATTATATTTCACGCTTTTAATTAGTCTCTTTTACGTCACGTAAAGACATGACGTATATGCGTGTACGCTCGATATAATTAGAATCGAGAATGGTATTTCTTTTGTTAGGAGAAATGTTCTTGCTAACGTGGAAACGTTTTATCATATCAAATAATTCATAATAAATAAAGTTCTCTATGACGTTTGATAAGATCATATAAAAAGAATTTGTTCGATTGTAAATTTTATGATTGTAGTGTTTACCCTTGTTTTACTCGTTAAAGGGTTGTTTTATTATTTGTCATAGCATACTGTCGTCATGCTTGCAGCACGTTGTTCTCTCTCTCTCTCTCTCTCTCTCTCTCTTTCTCTTTCTCTTTAACTCCTTTTTTTTTCTCTCTTTCTGTCTCGTATCCAGCATTCGTCCTCTCCCAACCTCTTCTTCCTTTACTTTTCTCCTTTTTGTTGATCTCACCACCCGTAACGGCATCCTCTCTCACCTTCTCGTAATTTACGATCGTTTCTTGACCGTAACTCTTTTTTGCATAATTCTCAGCAGTGTGTCCCGAGTCGGCCGCTGCCGCCGTCCGGGTGAGTAGAGTACCCTATACCAAGCGCGAGTATTTTTATCGTCTATACGACATCCGTGAAATTCGTAAAATACGAACGGTCATCTTCGCAGATCGATCGCGTAATTGGTTCTAGTAATTTACTACGCGAGAGAGTAGTACGTTGGAAAGGTGAAAGAGACGAAATCATCCTTTCGCAGATTGTTTCTAATTTTCCTTTCTCGTATCCCTGAGCTTTTGCGGAAGAAACGAAGATGCGGAGGAGAGGAGAAGACGACTACGACTACGATTACAACGACGACAACGACTACGACAACGAAGAGTACGACGACGACGACGACGACGAATGATGAGGAGAGTAGGAGAAAGAAGTGGGTGAGGGCAAGGGGGGAAAGGGCGGAGTAGTCACGCGCTTAGACGCACGATTATTTATTTTTAACGCGTCGAGCTTGTGCCCGCGCGCGCAGAAGCGATTTATCTGCAATTGCGATTCCTTTTCTTAGGACATTAGGGAGGCGATCGCGAGACAGGAGACGCGGAGGGAGCGGAGACGTAATGCGATTAAGGTCGTTATCAGATGTCGCTTCCACTTCTCGCGTGATGACGTCGACATTCGCGCTCGTTTGTCATCGCGTGACGTCGTCACGGGGGTTGCATGATTTACTTCCGCCTTTCCCCTTTTCGCACCCTCCCCTTCGTCATTTCGTCCATTTCTTTTTCCGCTTTTCGCCCTCCTCCCTCCCTACCTCTCTCCCTCCTTTCTCCTTCTCTTACCTCTCTTACTTCTCTTCCTAGTTTTCTTTTCTACTCGTCGTAGTAAATTCATCTCAAAGAGGAAAATGTCAAGTTGAACATGCTCTCTCTCTCTCTCTCTCTCTCTCTCGAAGAAGAAGAAGAAGAAGAAGAAGAAGTAACGATAAGTGATGTTATTTCGATATAAATGCATCTTACTCATTCACGATAATTGATATCATTTATTGTTTTTACTTTTGATATGTTACATTCTAATTAATGTTGACCAAGTATATTGATATTGATTATGCACGTGGAGATGATTTCTTCTTATCCCTTCGAAACGAATAATACGAAGACGTAAATTAATCAGAGCTTGGACGTGCTTACGTAGGTGTGTGTTCCGTGTGTGTGTGTATTTATGTGTGACGAGCAGTGGTTAACATCCGAAATTCCTTTTATTCGCCCTTCCGACACTTTTTTCGATTCGACACGTTAAAGAGTCAGTCTTACACGTAAGGGAGAGGCACATTGGATCATCTAGTTGTCCTTGTTCTTTTAGCAAAGGGAGATATGGAGAGAACGAGAGAGATAGAAAGAGAAATGCGTTTCATCGTGGTCAGAATTCGTCGTTAAGAGGGTGTGGCTCAGAGATATAGCGATGATTAGAAGCTACACCCCCGAGTTCGTACGAGTACGAGGGTGGATCCAGAAAATTCATGGAGTTACTTAGGATCTCCGTGGCTCAATCGTTTATCTTGCGACGATGGGCGCCGAGAAAAAGGGGAACAGAAAGAGAGAGAGAGAGAGAGAGAGAGAGAGAGAGAGAGAGAGAGAGAGAGAGAAGGAAGTCGTTACGTCGTTGAGAGGCCACACCGGGGTCGAGACGATAATCCTAATTAATAATTAATTACCACGGAAGACACTCCCGTACTTTTGTACCCACTCCCTCTTTCTCTCTCTCTCTCTCTCTCTCTCTCTCTCTTTTTCTCTTTCTGCCCCCTCTCGAACCGGAGAATAACACTCGATTGAATTCTTCCTGTTATGGGTAGTAAGATATCGTAACATGTTTTATTAAATCAAATAGGATTAAAATAATATCATCGAGTATTACTCTTAACTTTTTGTTATTAACAAATGGACAAATAAATTCTCTATATGTTTCTTTCGTTAAAATTTGAATAATACGATAAGAAGAAAGGTCCATCATTACTGGTCAATTTATTTTCTTTTTTTCTTTCTTTCTTCTTCTTTTTTTTATTTTTTTATTTATTTATTTCTTTTTTTTATTTTTTTTTTTATTTTTTTTTTTTTTTTTTTTTTTTATATATATACATATATATTGAAAATAACATCGTTAACACGTCGTTATCTATCGTTCAACTTCTAACCAGCAAAGTTACGCGTTCGCGCTTGACAAGACGCGCTTGACGTTTATAAAATATTAGCTATTCTTGCTTGGACAGAGTCCGTTCGGTTTGTTTTTGTTACTTTCGACATTGGCGCGATAACACGTTCATTTTCCTTTATTCGACCCTTCGACGTTTCCTTCTCATCGAACTGACGTCGAACCTGGACGGTATAGTTTCGATCTACGCCAATGTTCGCCAAATAAAATGCTTTTTACGATCATCTCTCTCTCTCTCTCTCTCTCTCTCTCTCTCTCTCTCTCTGTCTCTCTCTCTCTCTCTCTCTCTCTGTCTTTTCTTTTTCAGTATAAGCGTTCACCGGCAGTAAATTTCATCGAACGTGAACGTAGTAAAAGCGCGCGCTGTGATGGTGGTCGAGATTTGAGATCGAAATAAATAACCATCTGGACTTTTCCGTCGTCGTCGTCGTCGATGAGAGAACTAGAGAGCTCATGTATCTTTTGCGTTTGCAAAGGAAAACGAAGGAAAAAGAGAAAGAAAAAGGAGAAAAAAAAAGGGAAGAAAAAAGATAATAAAACATGACAAAAGTGAACGCGAGAGAGAAACGAGCGAGAGAAATCGCTCGAGTTTTACGAGATTCCGAAGGGAAAGAGAGCGAGAGAGGAGGACTAAGAGGAAGATACGGAGTCAACGGCATTGGTTGAGAAAAAGAGATAGATAGACACACACACACACACACACACACACACACACACACACACACACGTAGAGAGAGAGAGAGAGATATTCTCTTCGCTTCAGGAGCTCGACCACTCGAGATTTTTCTTCGTACGATTCTCTGAAAGTTGTACGCGTGCGTTGCTACATGGCGGAGGCTCGAACCCCCAGGAGCACCCCAGTTTGTCAAGTCGACCCTTCGGTGTCGCTTACAAGACGGCAAATTTGTCTCAGATAAGCAAAACAAACACATCGCGGTTGGATGAGCCGCCTCCATTCGTCGTCCTTTTTTCCTTTCTGTCTCTTTCTTTCTTCTTTTCTTTTTTTTTCTTTTTTTTCTCTTTCTTTCTTTCTTTATCCTCCTCTTTTCTTTCGTTCCATCTTCTTCTACTTGCTTCTTACCGTTCCGCTTCATTCCATTCTTCGCTATATCCTTTTATACACATACCTTTTTTCTCCCTCAATTTCGTTTACTTATTTCGTTAATATTAAACAATCATCGTCACATTGATCAAGTTGCATTTTTATTCGTTACCTTTTTTCGTTTTTTTTTTCTGTTCTTTTTTTTGTCTTTTTTTGTTTTTTTTTTTTTTTTGTTCTTTTTTAATTCGATATTTTAATAACAAACTATATTCATTACTATATATTATAATTTTAATGATAAATCATTTAATGGGAGATAATTTTTAGGTGTGAAAAATTCGACCGTTTATGTATTAGATATAATATGATGTACGAGACCCCGAGTTTGGACCTTTCTGAATTATGGATCGATTCGGCGAATTCTCTGTTTCAACCATTTTCTCGCATTTCGGTCGCTCGGGGGATTTGCATACATTAGATTTTATCCTTCTGAGAACGTCCGTCTTTCAGATGCGCGCGTATTTATGAGTATCCCCTTATAATGGTCCCGAATTCCAAATGG